TAATACTTCCTAATCGAATATTGCCCTGTCGAAATTTTTACTAACAATTTCTTAATATTATTGCTGAGCATTTGACCAATATAGAGACTCTCCTAAGAAAATTATACAAACTGTATGAAACGCAATTAGGAGAGTCAGGATTGCCGATGTGTCGTGGCGGTGCTATTGCAGTATTTCTTAACCATTATTGTTTCTGTTGTTGTTGTTGTTTTTTTTTTATGTTACGCTCGTGCTTTTGCAATACTGTGCGAATTTATAGTTATGCAAATAACACTACTTGTTGTTTTTGTCATTTGAAGCGGCCGGGACGGATGTGCGCAACTGGTGCACTTAATTAACTAAAGGAATATTTAAGGCTAAATTGAAAGGTTAAAATTCTGAACTCTATTTTGCCACCCTAACTGTTTTTAGGTGCCAAATAATTGGCCCCGTCAAATACTGGACTGATGACACTCCGGGGCAGTACAACAATATACTCAGCCACTTACTGAAACGTGCACAAAATAATAAAAAAAACTTTCTTCGAGTCTTGGTTAGACTGAAGATAGGATGTAGAACTTACCGAGGTAATAAAAATGTGACATCCGGAATATTAATAGACAAGAAGTAGATCAATGCACAATAAGGTGGTCTGGAAAGCTGTGTCAGACGGGGATCATTTTACCTTCAGCACAGGCTAGAAAGTACTGAAAGAAAAAAAACAACAACAAAAACAGACAAACGTAACACTGATCTTGTATCACGTATTAAAGAAGTTTCCCGACCGTCCATCCATTCCTCTATAGTCTATACAAGGTTTGCTCGCGTCATGGCAATTACACATTTTTGTAGCAACTTTGTGGCCCAGTGAAGGCAACCAAATTGTAAAGAAAGACCTGTACAACTTCAGAAAGCTTCTAGGTAGCTTTGATCCATCAACATAAGAGCATTCTTTCATTTGATGAAAATTAAAAGTGTTTCCAGCAGCAACTCTTAGATAGAGATCCCAATGCCAACAATTTCGCTCTTGCGTCCTCCACGTTAATCAGTTCTGAATGAAATAGTACCTCTTTAATTCCTTATCACTAGTCGCGTCCTCAGTGCCTTGTCCGAGTCCGTCTATATCCTGGCCTGGCTCTACCGCGTGCTTTCCCTAAAGGATATATACCGGATATAGAGGACAAAGCAGTGAAGCTGAAAAGCACTTCAACAGCTATAAGGTCCAGAAATCTAACGGGAAACAAGGAAACACACAACTGTAGTAGGTAGGTTTATTTTCGTGCATACTCCTCAGTCTTTTAGGGTTAAGAATAGAACCGTTTTTCCCATACAAATCCTTATATTTCAATTGTTGGTTACGGTGAGCACTACGTACGTACAGGGACCCTCATTTTGGACATTATGCCACCTGTGGAAAAGCGTACGGAAAAAGCCCACCCTGCTAAAATATCGAGTTTTCTACCTCCCCTTGATATTTTCGCATAGGTTCAGTCGCATAAGCTATTTTCATGCAAATGAAATAGATAATAAAAACTCTAAGGCCAGCTACAGGTATAACGCACTGTTTTACAAATGATCAACATTAAATTAGGTCGACATTTCAAAAGAATGCGTTACTTTGCCGGGATGATCCAGTTCAGGATCATTGATCTCACTGGTCTGAGTATTAGGCCTTCCTAAGGGAGGAGAGAGAGAAGGGATCCATCGGATCATAACACATCAAGGGAGTCCAGGAAGCCTTGCTCAGAGTGGATTCATCGATTTCTCGATCGATCCCAATACAAGAGTTTAGTATCACAGAACCTCAAGCCAGCGCTTTGAAATGGCAGAAGGTTTAGAGGTTACACTTTCGGACACTTACACAACG